CTGCCCACAGTCCCTGGGTTTTTATAAGATGGCTTGGCCCAGGGACCACTTAGTGTAAGTGTTGGGCCCATAGGTTCCATGTGATGGGCTCAAGGGGTTCACTGGGCTTTCCAGTGAATTCGGCTAGGCCTTGTAACAAAGGCTGGGCCGAACCCATGTGGCTGATGTGGAGATCAATGCTTGGGTCTCACGCCATACAAAGAAGCCCAACTGGGCAGCAGTTTGGAAACTTATTGAGCACTAATTACTTCTTGGGCCTAAAAGCCCATTTCGAACTGGGCTGATATGATCACCCACTTAAAGGGGCGAATTTGCAGATAGGATTAACCTCCTGATGAGATCAGGAATGGGCTGATCTAATCTGCAGATAGGATTAACCTCTTTATGAGATCAGGAATGGGCTGATCTAATCTGCAGATAGGATTAAGATTATCTCCTATCCAAATACAGATTTGGATTGGGATAACTCCTAATGGGATTAGGAGGTTTCTTAATCACTAAGAAATGAGGAAACCTTAACAGAGAATTAGAAGAATTTGACCTAGGATTTTGTAGTTACACTCTTTGCAATCTAGATAGGATCCCACCTCTCCCCTAAGCTGAAAACTGCATTCACGCCTCTTTCAGCCTTAGGGATCTCCTCCAGCCGCCGCCACCTTGCTACATAGTTCGAACTCCATTGAAGGGAAAATCAAGAAATCTATTCTTGATATTAGTCTTTGCTGAAAGGCTGATTTGGTTCGGTTCTCTAAGCCTCCAACGAGTTCTTGTGAAGAGTTCGGTACATGAGATGTACATTGTTGGTTCTGCCCCACCACCGCTATGTCATCTTCAGCGGGAGCAGATCTTGGATCTTTCTTTGGGCGTGAACACTAATGTTGGGAGATTTTGATTCTCCGTATCAGGTATAACCCTCCCCTGATCTTTGGTTCAGACCTGGTCTGGTTTGGTTCGAGTAGATCCTTGAATATTTGATTCTAAAATAAGGGAATGTGATTCCCAGTTGGAAGAAAGGTAGGAAATTTTTGAAATTCGCCCACCCATTCCGCAACCTTTTTGGTGTCCATACGATGGATCCTACCATTCTTTCAGGGGATGGTTTGAGTGGGCGGTGCCACAGACCCCAACAATTGCATCATTGCCAAGATTTGGTCGACCTTTTCTTACATTGCATGGAATTGGATGGGGTCGACTGTGGCTGGTTGTGGTTGCTAGGTTTCTTGGCGTGGGGGGCTACGATGGTGGGATTCCCAAGATGGGGATCGGACTATCGAACGCTCAGAGTAGTTTCTTGGCATCTTGATTGCTTCTTGACTGCGTGGCGAGAAAGATTTAGGGAAGGCTTTTTGTGCGATTCCTATAGACGGCGCCAATTTGATGCTACTCGATCCTAGGTAGTGCAAGAACTGAGGTCACAGTCATCTAGGCAGAGCCGAGGTGGAAGGATGAAGCCGTGCAATGAGATCTACGAGCAAGAAACAAGTCAAAGGCCTGAGGAGTTGTCCCCGAGTAGGTACTCCAACGCTCAAGTTAGTAGGAGGTAGTAGGTGGTCAGGCCAACTAGTTGGAGAACAGTGCTGGTCCGAGCAAGGTAGCAATATAAGAGTCAGAAGTTGGATCCCTTACCTTGAGAGGGAGGTACCTTTTTATAGCCGAAGATCCGTGTCCTGATCAGATTAGGCTTTCGGTGTTGTCGGGGTGAGGTTAACTACCGAGGTCTTCGGGATAAGACCTAATCCCTAGAGAAGTTGTCCCCATCTACTCTCCTGTCTTGGTCGTGTCTATCCACATGATGTGGAGTCGTCGTGGCTAGAAAGGCAGAGTGGGGCCGTGGAGGTAACGTAGTGCTGACGTGGCCGAGGAGATAAGGTAGGTCGTGGATATGATGTGGTGTTGACATGGCCGAGAAGATGGGGCGATCACGTAAGCACCACATGTCATCCGGAGCCAACTCAACCATAACCCGAACATCTACTATAGATATAAATGATTTATATATTTTATTTTATACATAATTATATGTTAAAAATGAAAAATAGTTATTATTTGAAAATTTGAGTTATTATATAAAGGTAATAAATAAATATTGTTTCCCAACAAAATTAATGGAATACAAAAGAAGTATAATTATAAAAACTGAAATGAATAACTTAAGATTTAATTTCCTCAAAAATTTAATAAAAACCAAAAATTATAAATAATTTATTTTATCTACCTTAAATGGTTTATATATTTTATTTTACAATTATATGTAAAATAAAAGCATTATATGTTAAAAATGAAAACATGTTTGTTATTTAAAAAAAGGAGTTGCTATTTATATAAAATACTAAATTAATAAATATTCCCAAAAATTAATAAAAATTGAAAATTATAATTACAAAAATTGATAGAGTGATAATTATTGTATGATGTTTGAATGTTCTAGAGTCCCGGTATTGTTTACCGTAATGTTTCTCTTCATATAACCTATTGGAGTATGAATTTCTCATGTGTTTATACCTTATCAATAGATGATTCAGCTTTTGGTTTAATATTATTAATGTATTTATGTGATTTGTATGCATTTTCCTAGCATATCTAAACATTTTTATATCTTCATTCATATCCATGCAATTTCAAAGCATATCCATATCCATATCTGACTTATCTAATACAATACTCGATACGATACTTTGATCCTTAGTCTCACCCAAACTGGGTCCTAGTGGATTGGTGGAAAGGATCCCTAGATAAAAATGCCAATCGGGTAAATAAGTGGTGTTTTGAAAGGATAATTACGATTTTTTGGTTCCTATGGAAAATTGGAATGAGAAGATTTTTAAGAACCTCATGATGTCC